ATTGAACCATTAACTTTTGGAATTTCAGATTTATTTAATCGCGAACGCTCTAAAAATTTCGTTGAAGATCGTATAAGTAACCATTTTGACCTTTAAACTTTAAATATATGCACTTACTATACAAATGTAATGACTTTTTTGTTCTATTTATCTCTTATTATTTTTTGTTTATTTGTAAAGCTTTTGTAGTCTATCTAGGTGGGGTTATCACAAATAATTGCCAGTTAACCGTCTTATTTTGCTCTGCTTTGATGAATACTCTAATGTATATTTCTATGCTTACTATTTTACCTTATTTTTTGTTTGTCTTCTCAGGCAGATTCTGACTTTCATGTATTTTATTTAGACTGTAATCTAAAAAAAGGAATTTATACACACTTTTAAATTTATTTTTAATCATTAATATCTTATGCATTTTTTAATGCTTTGAAATTAGTATATAATTAATTACTTTGCTTATTAATTAAATTGATAGCGTTTGAGTTACCATTCCTTCAAATTTTTTAGCAGATTATCACTTGGAAGATACGGCAAATGTTCATTCAGAAGATGTTTGCTTTTATAAAGTGAACCCCTTAAATGTATTTGAACCTTCTTCACAACATTTAAGTGGTGCGACTTCTTACCTAGATATACCTAATGAACGAATAAACGAAACCCACTCTTCGGCTCGTATATTTCAGGATAATTTTTGTTTTGAAAAGCCTTTAAAGCCTGACTGCGAATTGGCTAATTCTTCATCCCCATCCACTTCTGGGTTAGGCATTAATGTCGGCACTGATCCTGAAGTCACACCTCTTCTTTCGTCCCATAAAAGGCACTCAACGGATTTACTGAGTGCTTCTAATCGTGGCAGGAGCAAAACTGTTCATCTCAAAGATGCTTTTCTTAACAACGAAGATCTTGCCAACGGAAAGGCGGTAGGTATTAAGACCTAGTGAAATTTATGTATTAATTGACCCTTATGAGTGTTGAAAATTCAACAACAATATCTGTTTTACACGTATCCGTTAGTTTTTTATTAACCACAAATATACTATAATAGCCATAGCATTGCCTATTCTCAGTTTATGAATGACGTACTACAAGTTTTGTATGTGTTTAACTTTTCATTGCTAATTTGCTTTTTTGGCTTTCTTATTCTGTAGGGACAATGTTTATCACTTTGTGATGAAGAGATTGTTGAACTGGTGCGAATGGGACAACGTATACCTACACATCTACCACTTACTCGATCAGAAGATAGAGCCCTGCGGACTGCAAGAAGAAAGATACGAAATAAACTTTCGGCAAAAGCCAGCCGTTTTCGTAGGCAAGAATATCTGTCAGGACTCGAATCAAGGATACATAATTGTTCTTCAGAAAATAAGAAACTCAAACTTCGGGTGGAAGAATTAGAAATGGATAAAAAGTAAGTTCTACCAATTGTTCATTCGTCTTTGAAGTGTCAATTTATGTGCAGAATCTAATCACGTTTGTTGAAAGCTTGACGCACGTAATGTATGGGAATGGTTATGGTGGTTTATGAGTATGAGTGAAGCCTTTTAATTTCTTTAAATTACGTTTATTTTCTGCTTGAGTAGTTTTCTGTTAGCTTTTAGCAACTATCAACCTATTCAGGTATTTTTTACTACAGCAAAGTTTGCTGCGAACCAATT